AAATGGGAGGAAAAGGAAGACTTCTGTACACAGAGAAAAATAATCTTTATAAAGAGGAATAGTGTATAATTTTTCCTCTGCTCAGAAAGCTGTCTTAACAGTGGATATTCATGAATTTTGCAGTCAAAGTTTTTCCTAAATGATTGCCTAATGATGGGGTTTGGGTTAGGGAGTATCAGTATGCTGTTTAGGTATGGGGAAAGAACATCTTGTCCTCTTTGCCTAGGGCCAACCACTATTGAATATAAACTGGATTGACTTCATACCCTCACTTCTTGAAATGATTTGTTTATTTTTAAACTACTTAGTAGGTGACAACTTGTTGTTTTAACAATTGCTATGGAAACTACATGCTTTCAATTTTTACTTGCTGTAACACCATTGTCAGGAATGTGAAACCAGTAATGAATTCCTTTGAATACAGCAAGGTTTATTAGTTTTTTGGTTTTTTTTAATAATCTGTTCTGGATTGGTTTTCTCCAAGGCATGACAAACTTCAGCTATAAATAAGCTACTTGAAGTCTCACAGCCCACTCTGGGTTGCTTTTGCTAATGGGATCCCAGCATGAAGAAAAAGTCTAGCTACGACCTGTGGTCCTGTGATGTCCAGAAAAAGGCAGCATAGTAGTTCCAGGGCTTGGGACTTTGAATTGGAGCCATGATGAGGAAGAGGATGCCCACACTTTCCAAGGAGCGTGGACATTGAAGACTTCATTTCAGTGGTCTAGGACAGAGAAGGAGCTATTGTCCCACACAGAGCTGTCGTGAGGCATTGCTGTGCATGTGGAGCTTTCCTCACAATGCTCACTGGGATCCTTCCAGTCCCTGCTGTTGCAACAGATCCACAGAGTACGCAACAGCAGCCACAGGTTTAATATGACTCTCATTTGGCACAGCTGTTAGCGACTTAGGCACATCCAGCCTTTCTACAGTTTCTGTAAGCCATTATCATCAGCTTACAAAGCAAGCACTGCCTCTGGACTTTGCCAATTTTGTGATCTTTTTGCCGTCATCCATACCGACTGTATTTGTGGAACAAATTCAGTAGGATGTATCATCTCAAGTCCTTAGGGGAGGTTTGGCAGCCGGGCCAGCAGCAGAAAGACGAATGCCTCTATGAACATAATCTTCTGAATCCTGATGTGTCAAGATTTTGTGTGTGCTTTGGTGTCAGCAGGTTTTAGCGGCTATGAGTTCCATGTATAATATTTGCTATGCAGAGAGAATTTTCTCCTCATAATTTTGAATTTATTTTTAATTGAAGAGTCCCTTGTTGTTTGGGGTCAGACAGAAAGGGAATTGCTGAGAGCTGTTACTGATGCGTTGTTGGTTATTTTATTATAGCTCCTCTTATATGTCTTTTTCCTCAAGTAATTCATCCCAGTGGCTTCTGACTTTCTCCATAGGAGAACTTTTCTATCCCCTTGATCATTCTTGCTGCCTGACTGCGAATCTTCTTTCATAATCGTGTATTATCCATCAACACATTCTGCCTGTGGATGTCTGCTCAGCTGGTAGACATCTGATAAATTACATGCTAAATCTAGGTACTTCCAGAAAGATGTTCCTATCTGTCTGTCTGTCTCAGAGTCTCTTGGTAGGTTATTAAAAGAAAATCTTTTCTACTTGACTCCCCCTAGCTGATACATGAAGTGTCTATTTCTACTTTTTTAAATTAAGTGAGGCAGATCACTCTCTGATTACCTTGTTCTTGTTTACCATGCTCTCAGTTCCTGCCAAGCACAGATTTTGTTGCCAGTTTCTTCTAAAATAAATTTTCATCTCCAGTATTGATGTAAATACTGAATAACCACAAGTTTTGAACTGATCCCTGCAGAAATCCTGTGGAAACATCTCATTTGCTCATAGTCCCCAACTGACTCAGCAATCTGTCAGCATATTCTGAATTGAATTACCCTGTGCTTTATTGTTTATATTGCTAACTTTTTAAAAATCAAAATCGTATGTGATAATAAGCCTCTCATGGCATCTTGCAGTACTTCTTAAAATTTTTGTATAATAAATGAGAACTCTCTTCAACAATTTTATTTGTAGTTTTTTGGCTTCTGAAATTAATTTTCACCGTCTCAGATTTGTTTTGCTTATGTCAGTTTTTGTTTATGCATTTGCTAAACCGTGAACAGCTGCCAAGGCACTGGGGAAGTTTTTCTGCAGAATCAGTAAGAATATTTTACAGCTGGGCCAGATTTTTTTCCCTAAATAAATATTTTAAGTGTCACCTTATTCTTTGGGTATTATTTCCTATCAACTGTCAGGGGAACTTTCTGTTCCTTTCCTTACGTTGTTTGTGTTACTTGTTTTTCTCCTAGATCTGAGAATGGTACTTCTCCAAACCAAAACTGTGACATATAAATATCAGCCTGTCAGAGCCATGTGTGTCTACCCATCCACTCCTGAAGGTTTAGCTGCTTGTGTTGAAGATACTGTAAGACTTAGACTCAAGATTTCTGGAGGTGTGAGGCACAGGCACGGCTGCGACGTAGCTCAGGCAGGGACCAAGGGTGAGGGCCTGAGCATCAATCACCTCCTGAGCAAGGGCAAGCTCCTTTCAGCTCCTCTCACAACTCTGCTGTTTTCCCAGTGGTCTGAGCCAAGGTTACACAGCCACACCATGGCAAACCTGGCCTTGAGCGTCAGCAGCTGAGTGCCTGGGAGGGAGTGGGTGTGCTCAGAGCCAGACACAGCTCTTTTATAGGCTCTGGATATTTCCATTTGGTTAAAAGTAACAGCCAACAGTATTACTGGCAGACTAACCAATTTCAGATTGCTCCACAGTTAGGTTTGTTGCTGTCCAAGATGATTACAAAAGGTGCTAGTTCAGTTACGTAATTAATGAGAAGTTTCTGGAAATACAGACTTCTTCAGTCTGAGACCATTTATTTGTGTTAGTGATGTGGGCTTGAACCCCTAACCAGGTGGTGGCAGATTGGCAGGTATAATGAACATTATAGGGAGATGGCATGAAATTGAATAAATAGGTCCATGAACAAACATTGATGAACACTTGGATGAATACATGAAAGTTGTGATGAAAAAGTGTGCAAGGAGCACACTTAAAGACAGCCTGGTGAGAAATTTTTCTTTGGGAACTGTGCATTGTATGACTGAAAAAAAGGACATAACTCACTTTTTCAGCAAGCAACTGGCATTCTTTTGCTTTTTTTTTTGGTAATTTAGGATAGGCTATTAGCAAAAAGAGAGTATTTGGTATTGATAATACTCTTCCCTGCTACTTTGGCTGGGGACTGTTTCTCTTGTTTATTTTCTTTCCATTTGCTTTTCCCCACCTCTCCATCCTTGGGGAAAAAAAAAAAAGGCTTTTCAATTGTGCATTCTGTTTTGTTGTGTTTTTTTTTTTTCCTTTAACGGTGATCCTCTGCTGCAGCACTCCTCTCACCAGCAGTATCTCACCGTAGGGCTGCAAAGCCAATGGTACGTATCTGACCTCAGGCGTCCTGCGTTCTTTAAATCTGCCAAATGGTTCATTGATGTTCTTGCCAGTGTTCAGGCACAGCTGGATGCAGAGTAAGCGTGGGGGATGTTGCAGAGGGGAGGATGAGTGGGAGAGAAGGGAAGGGGTGAATTCCTGTGAGCCAGCCTCACAGCCAGCATGCTGCTTTTTGTGTTGGGACAGGGCAACTAACTTGATCAGTATGTGTTTTCATGAAGACACTTACTGTTACTAGTGCCTCATTATCAGAATAGAAATAGTGGATTTAGATTCTTCAAGGTGTTCACATGCCTATGTTCCTTTTGCATCCTGGTAAAATGAAAAGTATTAGAGTTTCATATGCTGATTTTTTTCCCACTGGACCTATTAATCTATCTATTCTGAATTTGCATTTATACAGGGATGGTGAAGGTATGAATTGGTCTTGTGACTGTTGAGCTGCTGTAAAGATGGTGGCATTTCAGTAGTGAAACTTTATGTTTGTGGCTTCTTGTGTAAAGCATTGACAAAGGTGTGTTTGCAGTATGAAAAGCGTATGTGTCTCCTAACTTGTGTGCTCTGGCAGAGTTGATCTTCTAAGTGCAGCCTTTCTAGTGAAAAGGTTCTGGCAATACCAGTAGAGCTAAAGCTCATTCTACACTAACATAATCTTTTCATAATGTCAGAATATGTATGGAGCAGTTAATGCACTGTGGTAATTACGTACAGTAAGATTGTGATTAAATGATCCTGTGCCAACTGCTTTTCATATTTGCAGCACCACAGAAAAGTATTTTTGATTATTTTTTGTTATTATTACTTACCATTGGACAATTTGTCACGTCTAATTACTTCTGTTTGTAATTCTCCTGATTGTGCCCCCTAGCTCAAGACAATATTTAGTTTTAAAAAAAACACAACCACAAACCAGACCACAGCCTGGTAGCACACTAAAACAGAAAAGGAGTCTTTGGCTTCTCTCCAGTCTTCATGTACGATAGTAGCACAAAGGTGCCAAGAAGCCAGTTGTAAGCGGCTAAGTGGGAATTTTTTCTGAATTGTCAGGAAATTTCTAGCTAAGGAAAAGCTGGCATTATGTCTCGTAGGTCTGTGCAGGGGGATATAGGTGCAGTGCCACTGTGTCC